TTGCTTTAGGGTGCCAGTGAGGAAGGAGTGGACACAGGTGCAACTTTGTTTTACTGGACTGAAAATGTTTTTAATGGAATGGGTCTAGGTAAAGGAAGACAATGCACGTTGAGCTGCAGGAAACAAAAGCTAGTCCAGTTATTATTTTAGTCCTGCTTTGGAAATAAACCAAACGTCCATCTGCGGTAGAAAAGACAAATCGTGAGCTGCTGTTGTTGTTTGTTTGTTTGTTTGTTGTTTTCTTATAAAATGGAATTTCATCCCACAGGGAGTGGAAGGAACTACAAGAACAATCACACGAATGAAACCTCCCACGCTAAGAATGAGCGAGGGGAGCCAGGCACAAAAGAGTACATTTATAGTGCATTCCATTGTTCGAAAGTTCAAAAACAGGTGGAACTAATCTATGGTGTTAGAAATCAGAATACTACTACCCTTGGGAGGAGTTTCTAGCATTCTGGTAATGTTTCGGTTTTCAAACTGGGTGCTGAGTCCATGGTTGTGCTGGCTTTGTGTAGACATACTGAGTTGTTCACTCTCTGATGCTTTGTTGTGTAGCTGTTAAAGTCAATCAAATATTTTCCTTTCAAAAGATCCTTCATCACTAGGATGTCATACTTTTTTGCTGCTGCTACAATGTATGTCACACCCAAATATTTATTGGTAACATACTTACTATTTGGAGTAAAAACATTCTGTGTTACCAAACTTCCAGCCATTGTGCAAAAAGACGCATTACTGAGGCAGAGTTATATCTTAAATTATTCATCTGTGCATTTTTCATGAATTTCTATCCTTTCCTGTTCTCTAGAACCCTCAGTTAATATGTTAACTTAAATAAACTGTTCAGAGCGTTGCATCCAGTAAAAACTCAGTAAACTTTGTCTTTTATTCACCAAATTATACCTTCTATGTAGGTAGTGTTTTTTGTTTTATTTTTTAATTGGTTGGTGCGTGGCACATGATAGCTGCTCAATTAATATTTTACCCATGTAGCCCCGGAGCATCTATGTGCAACTTCCTGTACTAGCTTCCATTTTATGTGCAGACCCAGTCACTAAAACTAATATATATGTGTACACACGCGTTCTTGCTGTCCTCAGTATTGAAAGTCTCTTTCGTGTAAGGGATGGCTGAAAATTTTCCAAGTCGTCAAAATCTGGTTCCCTTTTGCTTAACAGTTCTTTCCTCGACTTCTTTTTAAATTTTTGTAAAAAAAAATTTTTTTTTTTAACGATAGACATCAGGGAGAAGTCAAGCTGCACCTTCCACACTGTGCTTGGCAATTTCCTCACTTTATAACAACAGTCACTTTTCTTCCAGTTTCTCATTACGTGTCCTTCATTTCCTTCTGAAACCTTAACAGAGCAACTTTGATGGTCATGTGTTTTTTAATTATACACTTTAAAAAAAGTTTTAGGTTTACAGAAAAATTGAGCAGAAGGTATAGAGTTTCCATATACTCTCACTCCCCCTTCCCCCAACCAGTTTTCCCTATCATTAACATCTTGGGTTAGTGTGGTACCTTTGTTTCAGTTGATGAGCCAGTATTGATATTATTTATGCTGCTAGTTAATATTAGGGATTCACTGTGTCTTGTACGTTCTATGGGTTTTGACAAAAATATAATGACATACATTCATTACGCTATCATACAGAATGGTTTCGCTGCCCTAAAAATCCCCTTCGTTCTATTTATCCATGACTCCTTCCCTCTCCCCAGCACCTTGCAACCATTGTCCTTTGCAGTCTCCACAGGTTTGTCTTTTCCAGAATGTTATATGGTTGGAGTCATAAAGTATGTAGCCTCTTCAAATTCTTTCACTCAGCAGTATGCATTTAATGTTCTTCCGGGTGTTTTGGTAGCTTGATAGGTTATTTCTTTTCCTTGCAGAATAATATTCCATTGTCTGGACGTGCCATTGTTTATCCATCACCTATTGAAGGACATTTTGGTGGCTTTCAAGTTTTGGAAATTAGACTTTTATATGACCATGAGTTTTCAGTTCATTCAGGCAAATATCCGGGAACGAGATTGCTGGATCGTATTGTAAGAGTATGTTTTGTTTTGTGAGAAATTGCAAACTGTCTTCCAAAGTGGTTGTACCATTTTGCCCTCCCACCAGCCATGAATGAGAGATATATTCTTAAACTTGGGAAACTGTTCATGTCTTTACTTGGGGGGGTCTAGTGTTACAGAGATTAAAAGTGAGAGTTTGGGACCAAATTCCTAAACTCAAGTCCCAGCTTCCCCATTTGCTGGCTGTGTGATTTAGGCAAGTTATTCAACGTATCTGTGCCTCAGCTTCCTTCAGTTGTAGAGTAGGAATAATAATACAGAATAACTTCATTAGCTTGTTTTAGGAATTTAAAAAGTTAATAGATGCAAAGCACTTATTAGGACCCTGCCTGGCATAAAGTCATATGAAAATCATAGCTCATTGCATATGGTCACTTTTTCCTGATGGCCAGTTATCCCTATGTTGGCTTTCCATCGTCTGTCCTTTATATCACTTTTTCTTCTGCCTCATTCATCTTTTTCTTCTGATTCATGGAAGAGCTTTTTAAAAGAATATCCTATAGGTAACCGACTCACTTTTCACAGCATCCATTCAGTTCTCCAATATGACTTTAATTATGCTGCTGATGTTAAATATGCTCGCTATATATTTTTATCCTTTTTCATCTAGAATGTCTTTTTAGTGTGTTTTTTTCACATCTTGTTCTCACACATTTCTATCCTGTTTTCATTGGGTCGATGTCTTCTTGGAATCTACTGAGAATATCAACTTGTTCCCTGAAATTTTCTAGTGCCTCCCTTAGATCTTTTTTGAAATCTGGTCTTAGATGTCGTTTCTCCTTTCCTTTCCTTTGTGAATTTGTCTTTCATGTATTCATTGTTAGGATTTCCAAGTTTAATGTTTTGTCATCCAGCACTGACTTGACCTTAGGCCCTCTATCCAAAAGCCTGGGAAGCAGCACAGTCAGTTGTGTGGGCCACACATCGAACAGTATAAAAACCTACGGACTTCTATTGGGTTCTTTTCTGCCAGGGACACACCGACAGACCGGCGTTGGACTCCATTCGCAGCTGACGTAGGCTTACACCGTGCACTGCTGTAGGGCAGAACACGGTAACACCACTTCCCGCTTTCCTTTAGCATGTAAAAAGATGTGGGTCGCGACCCATTTGAAAGTCCTGAAGGCAATATAATGGGCCACGACAAGAAGTTTTAAAATGAAGAAATAGAGCCCTAAATATATTGAATGCAGAACAAGTAGTAAAGGCAAATAATGAATTGTGCAGTGTTTCCCTGCGTTTTAAAATTATACACGTGTGTAAATGTGTATCTCCTACACTACGTTCGGTCACACAAACTTGAGGGTCCCCAGGGTCCGGTTACTCCCACCAGAGACGTTCAGAAGCCAGAGACTGGCGCGGAGAACTCCCGGCCCCGCCCAACGGGAGCTCTGGGAAATGGAGTTCGGCGTCGTGGAGCATTCTGGGAACCGTAGTTCCGCGCGTCCGCCGGGCACGACGAACGGGGGGAGGGGCTCTCTCCGCGCGACCGGAAGTGGCCGTTGAAGCCGGCAGAGGTTGGCGCTGGGGAAGTGCACCCTCTTCGGCTCCCTTCGCTAGGTCTGGTGCCGGTCCCGGCGCTTCCGGACGCGCGAGCTGAGAGTGTGGAGCGCCCTAGAGGGAGGGAAGCCCAGGTATCACCATGGCAACCGCCAGCCTTGCGGCTGCGTGACGTCATCCTCCTCGCCCCGCTGGAAGCGGCCTCTGCGAGAGGGAGCTGGGGAGTCCTCGGAGGGGGCGCCCCTCGCCTCCCTCCGCGCGGGGCGGTTCCGCCCTGATCCCTTGGAGGGCTTTGTTCTTTTGTTCCGGTCTGGGAGGAAGGACTGGGAGCGGGCCCCGCCCCGCCGCTCCACCTTCCAGCGTTTCCACCCCGCAACAGGTGTGTCTTCCGTTCGCGAGCCGGGGTGTGAGCCCGCAAGTGGGCACGGAGGTAACGGGCCGGGTCTGGGGGCGCCTCTGGCCAGACTGCAGGGTGGGCACCAAGGGGTTTTTGAATCCGGGGCTGAACCTGCGTACTCGAGCTCCACTCTCTTTTTGTTCAGCGGGAGTGCCTGTTTGGTGGCTCTCGGCGGGCACTTCTCTTTTCCAAGGGTCTCTCAGCCACTGTGCAAAACTCAGAGGTGCGATTGTGACGCAGGCTGCTGACCCCGGGCTGTGTCTTTTAGGGCTGCCCCGCTCCGCCCGTGTAAGGGCTCAGCCGGCGCCGACTCCTGGCCGGACACCTGAGCCCCCCAGACCGAGGCCCCCGCTGGAAGGACGCTGCTTGAGAAATCCTGGTGTCCAGGCTCCGGAGGAACGGAATGAGCTCCTGAGATGGAAGGTAGTGGGGACTGGAGGGGGGACAGAGGGCTGATGGAGGCAAAAGAACAGTGAGGACCGGAAGATCGACTACTTGACAGAACTCATTGGTAGAGGTGGAAGTTGGGGGGGTGGGGTGGGGAGCTTATCTTAGGGATAGAGAAAAACTGCATTCCATCAAGGGGAGAGATTCTTACATTCATATGGAGAGACTTGCAGGAAGAGTTAAGTCTCCCCGGCTTCGGGATTGGGGAATGAGAAGGAGAGATGATTCAGAATGTCTGTGATCCTCACGTGACTTCTGTTTCTTAAATATTAGGATGGTAAACTTGCAGTCAGAAAAAATCTTGGTAATCATCCCTTCAGTGCAAGAATTAAATTTTTTTTTTTCAACGTTTACTTATTTTTGGGACAGAGAAAGACAGAGCATGAGCAGGGGAGGGGCAGAGAGAGAGGGAGACACAGAATGGGAAACAGGCTCCAGGCTCTGAGCCATCAGCCCAGAGCCCGACGCGGGGCTCGAACTCGCGGACCGCGAGATCGTGACCTGGCTGAAGTCGGACGCTTAACCGACTGCGCCACCCAGGCGCCCCCAGTGCAAGAATTAAAGTGTCCCTTGCTGATGGCCGTCTGTCAAGCCTATGCGAAGTGTGGCATCAAACTCCATTTTGGGTGCAGACTGTTCCCTTGTTGGCTCTTTTTTTTTTTAGTTCCTTCTATTAGGCAGAAGTGCCTAGCCCTGTAACTTCTGTGTTGGATCTTAGTTCTTGGTCTCCGAAAGCAAGAGACTGTTCTCTCTTCCACATTACTGCCCTCCAGAATGCGAATTCAGCTGTTACAACTCCTACTCGCACATTCTTTTCTTTTCTAAGCAAAACCGTCTCAGCTCCGTTGATGGATCTTATAGGACACATCTGGACCTCTTCGACTCTCCTGCAGGCGAGCATGCTTCTTAAAATGCATTGCCTGAAATTAAACATAGTTCTTTACAAATGCTTTGAAAAACACCTAAAAGGACGAATTTGTTTGAATTATATTTCTGCTGTGCAGCATCAGGTTACGTTTGTTTTGAAAAAAATCAGCGATATTGTGCTGTAAGCCCTAGATCTTTTTTACATAACCGTAGGGAAGTAGATTTATGCCATCCTGTGTAAGAGAATTGTTTTTTATCCTTAAATATCAGGACTTCACATATATGATTGTTTAGGGGTTTTTCCAGCTTGTCAGAATAATTACGAATCTTCATCTATTCAGTGTTTTTTTTTGTTTTTGTTTTTACATATATTTGTTGTAAGTAGGCTCCACACATTGAACTCATGACCTTGAGATCGAGAGGCACAGGGTCTACCGACCGAACCATCCAGGTGTCCCATTTATTTAGTGTTTTAACTGTCCTTTCCAACTTTATCTCACTGCCATATTTAATGAATATTCCTTTTATTTCTTTCTTCATGTCCTTGAACAGGTTCAGAGTAAGGACAGAGCCCTGTGACCTGTCATTATAGACTTTCCTCTGCATTGTCACTGTCTTTACATTGTTCAGATATGGCCATCAAGTCAGGTTTGGTTTAACCTATTATCATACAGTTCTTTTTTTGAATTTATTTAACATCATTAGAAGTCTTAATATTTCTTGTATTATTTATGCAGGTTCGAGATATATCTTATTGATTGTCAATTCTTTTTTTTTTTTTTAGGAGTGCAAAGAATCTCTTCTGTTTCTTACAAGTGCATATCTATCTAAAATTATCTCAAAACAAAACAAAAAGTTTGATTTTAAACATCAGCTGTTTTTTTTTATATCATCGAAGAACAATTATAGATTATAATAAAAATAACAATTCCATAAAAATAACAATAGCATCAAAAATATGAAATGGGAGAGGCGCCTGGGTGGCGCAGTTGGTTAAGCATCCAACTCTTGATTTCGGGTCAGGTCATGATCTCATGGTTTGTGAGACTGAGCCCTGCGTCTGGCTCTGCACTGAACAGCATGGAGCCTGCCTGGGATTCTCTCTCCCTCGCTCTCTGCCCCTCCCCCGCTCATGTTCTCTCTCCTCAAAATAAATAAATGAGCATTAAAAAAAACAAAACATTAAAACATATGAAACAGGAATACATCTAATATGTGTAAGCTCTGTACACTTAAAACTACAAAATGTTTCTGAGAAAAAGTTTTTTCTAGCTATATTTAGATATACTTGCCTCATAACATTGTGTAAGTTTAAGTTGTCCATAGTGATGATTTGATATATATTGGGAAGTGATTACCTCAGTAGGGTTAGTTATCACATCCACTGTTGATAGAAATGTCAATGGATATAATCACTATGGAAAGCAATACAGGTTCCTCAAGAAATTAAAAATAGAACTTCCAAATGATCCAGCAGTCCCACTTCTGGAAATGAAATCACTATCTTGGAGAAGTATCTGCACCCCCATATTTATTATAGTGTTAATCACAATAGCCAGGACATGGAAACAACCTAAGTGTCCATCAACACATGAATGGATAAAGAAAATGTGATATATGTATTTCCATAGTGGCTATACCAACTTACATTCCCATTAATAGTACACAAAAGTTCCTTTTCTACACATCTAGCAACACTTATTATCTTTTGTCTTTTTGATAATATTCTAACAGGTGTGAGGTGATAACTCACTTGGTTTGGATTTGCATTTCCCTGATACTTAATGATGTTGAGCATCTTTTTTTTTTTTTTTTAATTTTTTTAACGTTTATTTATTTTTGAGACAGAGAGAGACAGAGCATGAACGGGGGAGGGTCAGAGAGAGAGAGGGACACACAGAATCCAAAACAGGCCCCAGGCTCTGAGCTGTCAGCACAGAACCCGACGTGGGGCTTGAACTCAGGGACCGTGAGATCATGACCTGAGCCGAAGTCGGATGCTTAACCCACCAAGCCACCCAGGCACCCTGATGTTGAGCATCTTTTAATGTACCTCTTTGGTACATTTGTGTATCTTCTTTGGAAAAATGTTTATTCAGGTCCTCTGCCTATTTTTAAATTGGATTACTTGTTTTTATGCTGTTGAGCTGTATGAGTTCCTTACATATATTTTGGATATTAACCCCTATCCAATACGTGGTGTGCAAATATTTTCTCTAATTCCATAGGTTGCCTTTTCATTTTATTGATGGTTTCCTTTGCTTTTCTTTGCAGAAATTTTTTAGTTCGCTATAGTTCATGTTTGCTTATGTTGCTTGTACTTTTGATGTCATGTTGAAAAGATCATTGCCAAGACTAGTGTCAAGGAGCTTTCCTCCTAAGTTTTCTTCTAGGACTTTTAGGTTTTAGGTTTTGTTTAAATCTGTAATCTATTTCAGGTTAATTTTCATGATTGGTATATGACAGGGTTCATTTTCATTCTTCTACATGTGATTATATCTAATTTTCTTACCACTATTTTTTTTTTTTTTTTTTTACGTTTATTTTTGAGACAGAGAGAGACAGAGCATGAGCAGGGGAGGGGCAGAGAGAGAGGGAGACACAGAATCTGAAACAGGCTCCAGGGTCCAGGCTCTGAGCTGTCAGCACAGAGCCCGACGCGGGGCTTGAACTCACGGACCGTGAGATCATGACCTGAGCGCAAGTCAGATGCTTAACCGACTGAGCCACCCAGGCACCCCATCTTACCACCATTTTTTGAAGAGACTATTCTTCCACCCTTCTTTCCCCGCTGGGTATTCTTGGATCCCTTGTCAAATATGAATTGGCTAAACATAAGAAGGTTTACTTCTGGGCTCTCAATTCTATTCCATTAGTTTGTGTCTCTTTTTATGCTAGCACCATATTGTTTTCATTGCTATGGGTTTGTAATATAGTTTGACATCAGAAAGTGTGGTACATCCTATTTTGTTCTTCTTTCTCAGGATTGCTTTGTCTTTTGGGGGTCTTTTGTAGTACCGTATGGATTTTAGGATTCTTCTTCCTATTATTCTGAAAAATGCCATGGGAATTTTGATAGGGATTACATTGAATCTGTAGACAGCTTTGGGTATTATGGACATTTTAACAATAGAAATTCTTCTGATCCATGAACATGGGATACCTTTCTATTTATTTGTGTCTTCTGTGATTTTTTTTTTCATCAGTGTTTTGTAGTTTTCAGAGTAGAGATCTTTCACCTACTTGGTTAAATTTATTCCTAAGTATTTTATTTTATTGTTTTTGATGCTATTCTAAATGGGATTGTTTTCTTTTCTTTTTTTTAGATGCTTCATTTTTAGTGTTTAGAAACACCACTGATTTTTGTATGTTGATTTTGTATCCTGCAACTTTGCTGAATTTGTTGATTAGTTCTAACAGTGTTTTTGGAAGGCAGCTATGCTCACCACTATACCACTAATGCCTAACAGTGGTTTTGGTAGACTTTTAGGCTTTTCTCTATATAATATCATGTCATCTGCAAACATAATTTTACTTCTTCCTTTCTAATGTGGATACCTTTTATTTCTTTTTGTTGTCTAATTACTCTGGTTAGGACTTCTAGTATTATGTTAAATAGAAAAGGTGAGAGTGGGCCCCTCCTCTTGTCCCTTATCATAAAGGGAAGTCTTTGAATGTTTTCCAGTGAGTATGATGAGTAGGTTTGTTATATATGGTGCTGAGTTTGAAAAGTATTGGTGTTAAAAATTGTTGGAAGTATTAGGTAGAGTTCACCAGTGAAACAGTGGGCTTGTCTGTTTGGGGGGAAGGTTGAATACTGATTCAATCTCCTTACTCCTTATTGGTCTGTTCAGATATTCTGTTTCTTCATGATTCAGTTTTATTGGGTTGTATGTTTCCAAGAACTTATTTTTTATAGGTTATCCATTTTTTAAAATTTATTTATTTAGAGAAAGAGTTGAGTGTGTGCAGGGATGGGGCAGAGAGGGAGAGAGAGAATCCCAAGCAGGATCTGTACTGTCAACTCAGAGCCCAACATGGAGCTCAGTCTCACAAACTGAGATCATGACCTGAGCTGAATTCGAGTCAGATGCTCAACCAACTGAGCCAGCCGGATGCCCTGATATAGGTTATCCATTTTGATGGCACAGTAGTTTCTTGTGATCCTTTCTGTGGATCAGATTTCTGTGGTATCAATTTCTGTGGTAATGCTTCCTTTCATTTAAGCTTTTTCTCTTTTTTTCTTAGTTTAGCTAAAGGTTTTTCAATTTTGTGTGCCTTTTCAAAAAACCAACTCTTAGTTTCATTGATCTATTATTTTTCTGGTGTTTATTTCATTTACTTCTGCTCTGATCTTTGTTATTTCCTTTCTTCTGCTAACTTGGGACTCAGTTTGTTCTTTTTCCAGTTCCTTGAGTGCAGAGCTAGGTTGTTTATTTGAGAACTTTCTTTTTTCTTAATGTAGACATTTAGCGTTAATTCTCTCTTAGAACTAATTTTGCTATATCTGATAAGTTTTGATATTTTGTTTCCATTTTTATTTGTTTCGAGATATCTTTTGACTTCCCTTTTGATTTCTTCTTTTACTCTTTTGGTTGCTCAGGAATATGTTGTTTTGTGTCCACATATTTAATTTAATTTAATTAATTAATTAATTAATTTATTTATTTTTACATTTATTTTTGAGAGACAAGAGCATGAGCGGGGGAGGGGCACAGAGAGAGAAGGAGACACAGAATCTGAAGCAGGCTCCAGGCTCTGAGCAAGCGGTCAGCACAGCCTAACGCTGGGCTCAAACCCATGAACCGTGAGATCATGACCTGAGCCGAAGTCAGACACGTAACTGACTGAGCCACCCAGGCAGCCCTGTGTTCACATATATATATTTTTAAGTTTATTATTTCTTTTCAGAGAGAGAACGTGCATGCACGCACATAGGGGAGGGACAGAGAGACGGGGAAACAGAATTTAAAGCAGGCTCCACACCATCAGCGCAGAGCCCAATGTGGGCTCAGAACTCACAAAACCATGAGATCATGACCTGAGTTGAAATCAAGAGTCAGGTGCTTAACTGACTGAGCCACCCAGGCACCCCTGTGTCCACGTATTTTTGAATGACCTCCACTTTTCATATCATTGTTTGAGTAGATAGTGGGTATGATTTCAGTCTTCTTAAATTTACCAAGACTTGATTTGTGATTTTTCATATGATCTATCCTGGAGAATGCCCCTTGTGTCCTCAAGAAGAATGTGTATTTGGTGGTGTTGGATAGAATGTTGTATATATGTCTTTTAGGTCCATTTGGTCTAAAGTAGGTTCAAGTCCAGTGTTTCTTTGTTAATTTTCTGTCTGGATGCCCTACTCATTGCTGAAAGTGGGGTACTGAAGTCTTCTACTATTATGCATTGTTGTCTATTTCCCCCCTGAAACCTGTTAGTATTTGCTTAATAAGTTTAGGAGTTTTGATGTTAGTATGTATTTGTAATTATTATATCCTCTTCATGAATTGACCCCTTTATCATTATATAATGGCTCTTTTGGTCTCTTTTCACAATTTGTGACTTTAAGTCTATTTTGTCTGATATATGTAGAGCTACCTCTGCTCTCTTTTGCTTTCCTTTTGGATGGAGTATCTTTTCCCATCCCT